ACAGAGCAAAATCGGCGAATAGGAGGGATTTCGCGATTTGGGAGATAAAGCGATCTGGCGATTCGAGAGACTTTGTGATCTCCTAAATCGCCGAACCTCCTCTCGCAAAGTATGCATCCGGCATATGAGTACGACAAAAGCGATTAACGTCAGTTTCCCTGGGACATGTGAAGGAGCTGTGTTCCCAACCGGTTTTCCACCATTTATTGCAGCTTGCCCGCTTCAACAAATGGTGGAGAACGGGTTGGTGCTGCACCAAAGCCAGTCACCCCGCCCTATAATCCTCAGTGAACAGAACAGGTGTTCAACTAAAAGCTTGGATCGGGTATCTGAAAAAAAGCGCCACTAAAGCTGAACACCCCCTCTCTAAAAGCGGAAAAAATTATGGAACAAGAAAAGAATGGCATTTTCATCCGTTTCAGCTTATTCTCCTTCACACCAACAGTATTAGAAATAGTATCTAATAGTGTAATGAAAGAATACAACAAACTATCAAGGCGGAGTGGTCTAAAGAAATGAATCGTCACTGTCGCGGTCTTGGGTTATTGCGGATCGGATCCTGCTCGAGTCAACCAAGCCTCCTATTCCTTCTGGAGCCTCGTAAACTTCAAAGGCAGTTGGCACGATGGTTTCCTACTTAGCCTAAAATGCTAGTAGGGCGCTGTATAGTGGGGAAATGGCGAAAGAACGGAGTGAAACGGTCAAAATCCTGCGAAGAAAAAGCCTCCGTTCTCAGTGACTTGTAAATCGATTTCGGACGAGTTTCCCGTAGGCATCTTACCAATCACCGCTACCGAAGATACGGCTGCATATGTGTACCCATGTATGCATGCAGCATCACGCTTCATACCAATCCCTTCGCTTCATAATTTGCTTAGCAAATGAATGAATACGAGCGTCAGGAACGGTCGTCCATTTGTGGGCGGGCGGGCGTGGCGGGCGTTTGGGACGTAAAGTTGTGGCTTAGGGCCCTTATAAGGGCACCTTCCTCGGGGAAACCGCTATGCAGCGCCTGCCCAGGGTCGCGGAATTCTATCCTGCCAGGAGTATTGATCCTAGTCGTCTTGGGGGATTTATCGTGCCAACTGCCTTTAAAGAGCACCTATAGCCAACGTCGTAGCGGCTTGACGTATCGCAATAATCTTCACCATTCTGTTCTGACAACACTTTGATCAACCCATTATTATAGTTTTCTCTTTCAGGTGTATTTAATCTGAGAACCCGAGGTTTCTGGGTTCAGTTCAAAAAGTCAGATAAAATCACTAAAAAACGCCGATTGCTTAGTTCCAATTTGGACCAGATTTGTTTTCTAATGCAAATCAAACCCTTCCTCCCTAATAATTTCCTGTATTGCAGGGTTCCATTCCAGTGTGAAAAAAGAACCTTGTCAAAGGCCAAAGGCAAACCTCATCGTCACCGAGATCTGGACCTGGCTCGCTTTCCATCATTCGTAGTTTCTCTTCCTCGGACAATACTGGCGTCCCCAACACATCCTCCTTCGCTTCCGTCCAATCATCTCCCAATTTAGGCGTTTCGCGCTCGGATACATTGGCAGCATCGGCAGAGGTTTCTGGGTCGATAACTTGCTCTGCAAAACGAGGTAGAGGCAGTGATTGAAAACGCTAATGGCGCAGTATACATACCCGTATTGGACCCGCTGCTAGAGTCTTCGAAAACTTCAGGGCCAGGTTGAGTGATCTGATCAAAATGGCTCGTCGTTGACCGCCAGTTTCCACGTTTCCGTGCTCGCTCCCAAGCCTAACAGGGTGCAATTCGTAGCTTATTAAACCAAAAAATGAGATAAATCAAACGATCCCCAAAAAGATAATACTCCTTGAGCTCGTGAGCATGGCAAATTACCTGGCCATGGTCTTCAATTTCCGAAAAGAATGGACCCTTTACAGGTGGATGCTTTACAGTCTCCCATTCAGAAAACTCCTGCATTTCTTTCTCCAGCACATTTTTCCTGTGGAAATTGCGTGATTCTCGTGGATGAGTGATTTCATTAAAAACCGATGTCGTGCCAAAAGATGAGCCTCCACCGAATAATTCCTGTAAACATTGAAAATATGATACGGAGATCCATAAAAACGGAACATCTACAACATATATCTCTACCATCATTGCTGATGACGTTTCCAGTCCTTTATTACGATGGCGTGATATTGGCGGTGCTTCTTGCAATGGAGGTGGAATCGGCGAACTTTTTGCAGAACGGGCCGATGTAGGCTAAAATGATTAGCACGTTCAGCAATACTCAAGAACGTTACCAAAAGAATTGCTGGTATATGACGGGAATTACGTCGCATCGAGTATCTCAAGAAGTCTGATGCACACCAACATTTTTTTGCTCAACCACAGCGCAGTCGTAATTATCGCACAAAAAGCTATGCGGCGTCTATGACTACAAAAACTTGATTGCATTGCTTGTCGCAACTGCTGTAACCTGACCCTCGAGTAAACGATAATGTCGGAACAGGGAGAATTAAAAAAATAAGAGGATTCCCGAGTAGGTTGCCATGTACTGGACGTTCACAACGTAGCTGCGCGTCTTGTCACCTATTCCCTTTACGCTGCGTTCATACTTTACGTCAGCGTACGCCAGCGCCAGCATCTGGGAAAATACAGAGACCGATTTAGCGAACGCCAAAGTATGTCAGCTACAGCAGCGTTTTTGCAGGCAGTTCTGCTAAAGTTCAAATTGCCCGCGAAACGTTGGCGTACGCTGCCATACGATGGTACGTTGGCCTTTGCTGGATCGATATCTACACTTGTTGGCGTCGAAGCGCTGCCGCATGCTGGCGTACGCTAACGCAAGGTATAGGCGGAGCCTCACTGTGCATATCGCTGCAAAACCGGCGATTTAAGTCGCCTACGTCCAACACATGCGAACAACTGTCATCCTGCATTGCGGTGGACGATTGCATGATTCCAATTCTCCCAAAATATTCCAAAACGCGCACAGCCGATGATGCGACCGAATAAGATAAGCAGCCACATCCTCCCAGTCTCGGGATATGGAGTGTAGCTCACATAGTTCGTGGTTAACACTGGTTGCAATCAATCCAGCAGCTTCTGGAAACACCCATTTGGGAACGTGTTTACTGTGGGAGGGCAGGTCATTGAGAGGCCCCCGGAAGCGCCGTGATCTTGGCGGGAATTAGGAGTATATAAGAGTTGCGGATGCGTGGAATACATGCCTCATTTTCGATCCGTTTTTGACCGCCGAGTCGCGGTGCTCCCTCACCCCCTTATTTGAACCTACCTAAGATTCACTTTTATTCGCTTTATTTGTTCATTTGATTTGGTTGCCGTTTCTTTCATTGTAAAGTATTTGTTTAATAAATTGTTTTCGTGAACAGTGTCTTTGTCTACTCGCAGAACTGTCACTTCGGTGTCATACTTGATCGAATCACCGGGAATACATCCGGTACATGGGGGCCGAACCGATCAAGTCGAATCGATTGTGACTGGCTGCGTGGTAGCACATAGAAGACAGAGAACGGTCAAAGGGGACCGCATAAGCCGAACTGGAGAACCAGCGTGGGGGAAGTTTGAGAATCGCCGACAAGTGATCAGGAAAGGCGACCCCCAGCTCCATATTGATAGAAGCTGTTCAGATAGTGAACAGCAGGAGTCAGACCAGGGACGCGAAGTAAGCCGTCCTAGGGCTGGTAGAGGAGGCGAATCAAGCAGGGATTCGCCGGGAACTTTCGAGAAAAGGTGATCTCTTGTTGGCTAGGGGCCAAGAGAGGGAACCCCAAGAGGGCAGGGACGCAGAGTAAGCCGTCCAGGGAAGTGAGAAGCCTTTACAAGAGTGAGGTGTAAGGCGGTACACTGTGTTTTGTGGTGTTCATTATTGCGTGTTATCGATCGATATCTTCGCGATAAAACTCGGCGTCGTGATATTGACATTCGTGATATTGATCGAAGTAACATTGTCTATTGCAGAATAAGTGAAGAAGATGGAGAACCGCCGCGAGGGCGATGTTAATGAGAACGGTCCGCCTCAGGTTAGTGATCAAAGATTTGAGGTTAAGCGGATAACAGATGAGTTGGATAAGGTGGGAGATGAGGTTAAGCAGTTACCGTTACGGGTTGAAGAGGAGCTATCGGAGGCACGTATAGCCGGGAAGTATAGAAACCAGTTGATGGAAATTTTGTACAGCCATACTAGCCGGGCGTGTACAATATTGGAGGACATAAGAGCGAGTGTGGTAGGGCATGAGATGTTTGGCAAGGACCTGTTGCAGACGCTTCAGGATAAGGGGATAGAAAGTATGGAGGATCTGAATGAGTATATTAGTGTGACAGAAAGGGATGGTGAATTACTAGCAGTAATATGTGACATGTTTCAGACGGATGTGACGCACATACGTGGAGTGCTGAGCGAGATCCAGGCTTCGAGGAGGAACATTCGAAGCAGCAACGAGCTCAATGGAGATGAAGAAAAGATGGACACCGAGCACGATGAAGGTCGGTCAATGGATAGGAGTAATAGGATAGCTCTTTCATCAAACAGAGACTTTGTTCAGATTCTGCCACGGAGAAGTCGGACGTCACCGATTGGAGCAGCTTACGCGCCAGCCTCGAGGCAGCATTCGGAGATATCGGGACGACAAAGCGGCACATCAGGTCAGGATGCCTTAAACTTTATGGCATACATTCAAGCCAATGCATGCATAAGCCCTGGGATATTCAAGGGGAATAAGGGCGACAATTTTGAAGAGTTCATAAGACGATTTAAGCGAAAGTATAGGACTGTTATTTTTGATGATCAGACTCTACTGGACATTATGGTTGACGATCATCTGGAAGGCAGGGCCAAAAGCGTTTTTCTTTCATTACCTAGGAATGTAAGAGAGCAAAGTTTCGAGACAGTAGTGGAAGAACTAAGGAAGTTATTGGCAAACGATTCAACGGCGGGACGATTGAGGGCACTGGCCGAGCTAAGAACCTTAAGGCGGAGATGGGATCAAAGTGTTGCGGATTTTTGTCTTGCACTGGAGAAACTTGGTCGACAGGCTAACCCCTCTTGTAGCATAAAAGATAGATCGCTTGAGTACGCTCAGATACTTCTGGACAATTTGACGGATTGGCCAGAGCACGTCCACCTACTGAGCACGCTACACAGGGTAGACCCCACTGAGGCGTATGACTCCGTCAAGCAGTTGGCTCTGAGCATAGAGCAGTCAAAGGCGATATGGACTCCGAGAGTGGGCACGCGCAGAGATGGATGGAAAAGGAGGTCAGCCGCGTACCATCAAGAAGAGAGGAAGCGAGAGCTCGAGCTAAAACCCGTTCAGGACAGAGGGCATAGCGAAGTCAATTTGAATGACGGGCCCAAGCAGGGGGCCAGCAGAAGCGAGATGAGGCATTCCAGACCCAGTGAGGAGGTTCGGAATGGTGGGACTAGGGGTCTCGCTGAAAGAGAACAGGGAGGTCGTAGCGAAGGAGGCAGCGATAGAAGAAGATGCTACAACTGCCAGCAGATAGGGCATATTGGGAAGGATTGTCCACGGAGGAGACCCCGCGTTAACCAGATAGTGGATACGTCCAACAATACGACAAGTGAGTCGGAAGAGAACCGTAAAAACATGACAGGGTTGATCAAGAGTGCGCGGAGCCTTGGCATAAGAGCCAACGGCGACATGAGTGGACCCTTAATAGGTGAGATATGCTCAGCATGGGTCAGCATGTTGTCGGCTCGGGTGCGCGCCGTGCTTGATACGGGTTCAATGATTAGCATAGTACCAATAGCTGTGCTGGCACAGGCACAAAGAAGTGGCTTTGACGTGGACAGTTTAGAGATGATTTCTAATTCAGACATGGTTCCAGTGTATGACGCATCAGGTAATCGCATGGAGTTCATGGGAGCTGTGAAGATTACAGTAGAATTAGAAGGAGGTAGAAAAGCCAAAGTGTCTTTCCACATTATGGATGTCAATGAAAAAGAGATATTACTGGGTACAAACTCCTTGGACCAGTTAGGCGTGAACGTGCATATATCACCAGAGCTAGATCCGGATAAGGACAGGGTGTCCTCAAGAAAGGTAATAGTAGCCAGGAGGGCGTACATTACCCCGCATAGTGCAGCGATTGTGTCGGCTCGATGTGAGGGGCACGGTTATGAGGGAGATCGCCTCATTTGGCCACACATGACTGGGATGGTTGCAGGTGTGTATACCATCAAAGGTCGAAGTGTAGATGTATCCGTGGTGAACGATAGCGATGAGCCCATGATCTGTAGAGAAGGAGACGTGATAGGTCAGTGGGGGACAGAGAAATGGCGTGAGGGTTGGGAAGATGTGAACCCGCTCATGCTGGATAGTACATCCCCTGATATGAGTCCAGAGCAGAGGCGAATTTTACTGCTAGAACAGATTAAGGAGGCGTCAAGTGTAGAAACGTTGAGCGAAGATGTTGAGTCAGTTTTAGACGAGTTCCCTGAAGCCTTTTCAGTAAATGACAGGGAGCTGACAGGTACAAATGTGGTAGAAATGAACATAGATACAGGTGATAATAAGCCAGTTAAGATGAAAACAAGGCCCGTTCCACTGGGCATGAGAAAGAAACTTAGAGAGCTCCTAGAAGATTTGGAAAGGAGGAAAGTGATAGAAAAAAGTAGTTCAGAGTGGGCTTTTCCCATTGTTTTGGTGGAGAAGAAAGATGGCAGTCTCAGATTATGCGTGGACTACCGCGAGTTAAATAAGAAAATTAAGCTTGATTCATACCCTTTACCCACGATAGACGCAGTATTGCAAAGTTTGTCGGGTAAATCGTATTTCTCGACTTTGGATCTTTGTAGTGGATACTGGCAAATCCCACTCACGGCTGAGGCACGGGAGAAATCAGCGTTCACTACGCCGGAAGGACTATTCCAATTTCGTGTGACTCCTTTCGGATTGAAGCACCAGTCCGCCTGTGTTCCAGAGACTAATGGATACAGTGTTGCGTGACCTTCTTGGAACGAAGTTTTCTGTTACATTGATGATATAATAGTCTGTACGGAAACGCGGGAAAGGCATATAGAGCTACTCAAACAAGTGTGTGCGAAGCTGCAGGAAGCAGGGCTCAGATTGAAAGCGCAGAAGTGTGTGCTGATGCAAAGTAAGGTACATTTCTTGGGGCATGTCGTGGATAAGCAAGGTATCCATATGGACCCAAAGAAGGTGGAAGCAATCACGAGTTACAAGGCTCCGGTGAACGTGAAGGAACTGAGGACTTTCTTAGGGATGGCATCCTTCTATCGCAAGTTCTGTTTGGGGTTCGCGAAGCGAGTAGGATGTTTGTTTTCTCTCACGTCTCCGAAGACGGCTTGGAAGTGGACGCAGGAGCATCAGGAGGCGTTCGACAGTGTTAAGAAGATGATATCAACGTCGCCAGTGTTGATGCAGCCAAATATAGCAAAGGCCAGAGACGGTTCTCGACCGTTTGTGATATGCACAGACGCCTCAACGTCGGGGTTGGGAGCCGTGCTGTCCCAGGAGGGGGACGACAGCAATCTTCATCCGGTTTACTTTGCGTCGAAAGGGCTCAGCAAGGCAGAACGCAGGTATCACGTGACGGATTTGGAGGCTTTAGCGGTAGTGTTCGCGGTCAGGCGGTTTCACATGTTCATCTATGGACTTCCCACAGTGGTTCTGACAGACCATCAGCCACTGACTGCACTTTTCAACAGGACGAATGTGTCGGCCAGAGTTTTGCGTTGGTCTCTGGAGATTCAAAGGTATAATCTCGAGATAAGGTATGTGAAAGGGAAGACAAATGTGGTTGCAGACGCGCTTAGTCGAGGGGCTGTACAGTGGAACGATTCGGAGTCTGAGCACGGGCTCAACGAGGCAGTGGTTAATACCATTAACGTCAAAGAGAAGACCAAGTGGATGACGGAATTAGAGAAAGACGAGGACTTCGCTGTTATATTCGACGCGATAAGAAGTGGGCGTAGCCTTGACGTCGTGACAGTGCCAGGGATACGAAATCCGGTGAATGTGGCGGACTTCGTAATAGAAGATGGGGATCTAAAAATGTACACCAATGAGGGAAGTTTGGTATATGTGGTACCAAGAAGCGCCCGCTACGAAGTTTTTCACGAAGCCCACGCAGGAACGTTTGCAGGGCATTTCAGTGCACACAAGGTGTTGAATAAACTGAGGAAGCAAGTTTTTTGGCCAGCCATGGCACGAGATGTCCATAAGTGGACACGAGAGTGTCAACGATGTTTTGTACACAACGCTAAGTCACGGGCAACACCCCCATTGAAGCCGATAGTCACTTCGAAACCCTATGAAGTTGTCGGTGTGGATGTTTTAGAATTGGGGATG